AAATTTAATACTTATCTAATGCCAAGAAGGTCCTCCACAGTGAGTGCCCTTAGTTTGATAATAACTGAAAACAGTTAACACTGTGCATAAGCAGATGCTTAGCTCTTTACAGTCCCATGACTGACACCCAATCCCACATGACCTGTAAGGGTTAAATCTCCTTTCATTGCCCATTCAGAAGTGACAGTACTGTACAAGTATTCACAGCTTCCTCCTGAGATAACAGACACCTCTTCTCCATGATCTGGAAGTTTACTACCCATCTTGTTCTCGTTCTGTTTGCCACACACACATTCGTTTGCTGCCTGAAAAACTAGGATTTTGATGTGACTGATTTGCTATAATAATGAGATCTGCCACTGTAGTTATTACAATTGCAAGACAGTAAAATTCTTGGCCTCTGTTATTTCAAGAATACCTGCCATTGCTCTCCTTCTTTTGATCTGAGCTGAACCCTGGTAACATAAGGCTGAGGACAGAGAACGGCAGTGAAAGATTTTGCTGGAATCAGTCTGCTTTAAAATTGCCAAGGAAACAGGTCCAATATTAACACTTGTTTCTATGGAACTGGACCAAACCATTTGCTACACCGCTGGCAATATCTTAGCAATTTCCTTCACATCAGCACTGAATTTAAAGACAGTGACATGGTTTAGTGGTGAACTTGGCAGTCGTGTGGTAAATGTTGGACTTGATGATCTTAAAGGTCTTTTGCAACCTAGTTGATTCTATGAAAGAACTGACTTAGGGGATGGCAGCTGTTGAGTGCCCTGTCTTTTCTTTTGCAAGGAATTTTGGAGAAATGGTTCTCAAAACTTTACAGCATTAAGTCTCAGGTATTTGTTGCACACCTTGCCTCTGATCATCAGAGAAACCAATCTATATTTTGTGCTTTCAGCTAAGTGCTAGATTTGCCATTTAAAGATTGTTTCATTCATGAAATTGTCATGAAATTGACTAATTCATTGTTAAGAAATTGTTTTTTTCCTTGTAAACATCAAATTCCTTCTCTTTCTTAAATGATAGCTGGAGAGAGAACTCACATATGAGAAGCTGTCCGAATGGACTGATTCCAAGAAGATGACTGAAACTCTTGTGGATCTATACCTACCTAAGTTCACACTGGAGGAGAGATATGACCTTGGTGATAATCTGGGCAGCATGGGAATGCGCAGCGCCTTCAGCAGCAATGCTGATTTCAGTGGAATGGCTGAGAAGGGTGATGTGCTCATCTCCAAAATTATTCACAAGTCTTTTGTTGCAGTTGATGAGAAAGGCACTGAGGCAGCTGCTGCTACTGTAACTGTAACAGTAACAAGTCTACCAGTTAGCCATGCTCTGAAATTTAAGGCTGACCACCCTTTCCACTTCTTCATCAGACACAACAAATCCAAGAGCATCCTTTTCTTTGGCAGATTCTGCTCTCCCCTAGAATGAGTTATTACTTGCTCCTAGACAGTGCCCTATGTTCACTGTTCAATGGAAAAATATGAACTGCAGTGTTAAAAGCTCAACCTTAAGCCATGTAGCCATATGTGCTGAAAGTGTATGTCCTTTTTCTTCCTTCCGAAGTAAGGCAGCACCCAGAAACCACCCTGTGCCTCAAAGACCACCCCTCTACTGCTCCTAATTGTTCTAATCAGACAGCCCTCCACAGATAACAAAGTGCAGAGTTTTGCTCCCTTGCATTAAACCTGCTCTTCTGGCTTTGTTATTTGAGAGTAAGGTGGAGCCATAAAAGCTCTCTGCACACAGGCTTTCACCCAGCCTTATGCCAAATATGACTTCAAAGGAAATGCAGTTTGCACTCTTCAATCTCCCAGAGAGGAAAACCAGATTGTTGGAAGTTAAAAAAAAAAATAAAAATAATACAAACCCAGAATAATCTCAAAATACCCCTTACCTTCTCCTGTCTTACAACACATATATAGAAAAATTACATTCCTCCTCTCCTGCCCCTGAAGCTTCATGAAAAAAACAAGGCAGTGAAGGCAAATAGTCCAGCCCTTAACATTTAATTGCTGACTTCTAATCTGCTTGCATTTTTCCTCAGTTTTCTCAACTTTGTAGTTTAAGGTTGCTGAGAGTTCCAACCAGAAAAATGCTGAAAAAACTATGAGCAACACGCTTTTTTGATACTTCTTATTGATATGCAATCTAAAACATCAGAATTAAAACCTCCTCCCTCTTTTTAATTTCACCTAATTATACCTGTTTCCTGGCTAATATCTGCATGGTTTCCTTGGTACCTGTATTTTTGACCAGTATATGATTAGTAACTTATGAGTGCATCTCAGCAAAGATAGTCATAGTATTGATCGAAACACCAGTGAGATTTTGATTGATGCTTTACTTCATAAGTTTACCATGACCTGCATTTAATACAATAAATTAACCCAGAGTTGTGTTTGTGTTATTAAGGACACTGACTTACCTGGTTCTCTTAAAGCATCCTGTAAGGAGCATGGCTAGAGCATGTTTCCACTCTTGCCATTCCAAGTCAACCACCACATCATCCCAATTGACAAATCTGAGGCACTTTAATACAGTAGTGTCTTACTTCCACTAGGCTTCAAACAGCCCCCAAAACACTGTTACTCAACATGTTATTCTAGGCATTTACTAAACATATCTGTCACAACACATTATTAATAAAAAGTCTGACTAGAGCCTGTAGCCTAGAAGAGCACCTTCCAAACACCCCTTTCATCCATGTAGAACAGTGAACAGGCAATGCTGAGGGCAGCAGTTGTGCTTTCCTGTGGCCATAAGGAATAGCAAAAAGTTTTGTAGCCATTGTGGGACTCTAACCACACATCAGATAACATTATCTAAGGCAAGATGTGAATACAGGAGGGAGTTTCTGTGAAAAAAATTTGCTCTCAGCAAAATTCCACCTATAATTACAACTCACTTCACCTCCACTAAAGGTATTCTATTTGAAATACATTTCCACCCAACAAAATATACCTGTATCTTCTTCCCTGTACAAAGTGCTGCTTCTGCAATCAGTGCCCTCCCTTGTCTGCAACCCTCAGGTCAGGGTTCAGCTGTCTGTCACCAAGGACCTAACTTGATGCAGCCCAGTTTTGTGTTATTGACTCAGATTTACTAAGAAGTTTGTTGTTTAAGTATGGAAAAGCACACGAGTGAAGGCCATGTAAAATAGAAAAGTAAAAACACACAGACCGAAGTTATTGTCAGGATAGAATAGCAGCATAGCAAGGCTTCAGGAAATGAAACACTTGCATAAGGAGGTAAAAAATCTCAATTTAAAAAAAAAATTAAAAACTGAAAGGTAACAACTAGCAACTTAGCCTCTTCTAGGGAGCAGCAAAGACCAGCCCTCTTCCACTTGAGTAATGTCTGGACAGCAAAGACTCACCAGGGTGGTAAGCATGTCAATTCTTAGCCTTATATCACGTTAATCCTATCTCTCTGCTGTGGGTGTTCAACAATAAGTAATAATGGGGAACTCCTAAACTGGGTATAACCAGTTTGAAGAGACACTTCATGTAAGAGCAAAAGTTGCTCAAAGAGGTGAGAAGAGTTCCATGCCAAACTGATTGAAAGGTCATTCCATGCTAATTTCTGTACATCCCTTCACTTACACAAGGCCCTGCAAAGCAATACCTCTGAAGGGTCCCTGAGGAACTACAGAATGGTGTCTGCCAGCTGCTGAGAAGTGCAAAGGGTCAAACAGGCTGGTTTTGTCACCAAGCTTCTCCCAGTTTCAGCTTTGCTTGGAAGATGATGCCAAAGAGCACACTTTCCAGTAGTCCTGTAGGACATAGCTGAATGGGACTTCCTGCAGAGTAAAAATCTGTAACTGGACTTAGTATAGCACAGATTTTAAACTGTGCTCCTTTTTACTGCATGTAACTGGAAAAGAATTGATCTTCAATAAACACCAAAATGGTCCACTCGGAGTGGACTGTTTACAAGGTACAGTTATGGGAGTGTCAGGGAGTGTCATCAAACAGACAGAAAGACCTCACATCCATGCTCTGCAAGATGGGGACAAAAGATGGTTTTGAAAAAGGCCAAAATAATTAGTTCATCGGTGTGCTAATTTTATCAAAAGACTTTTTATAACTTTTTGTCAGAAGTCAATCCCTTTAGGTCAACAGATCAGGTGTTGTGATGCTGTGAAACTTTGTTTCTACCATTCTGGTTACAGATATTCACTTATTTCCTCTTGCTATTTCCATTTGGCGCAGCAAAATCAAGAGCACCTCTTTTTCAGCCAGTTTGTTCCCCTTTGAAACTTCTCTCTCTCTTGCTAAACAGCATCTTGCAGCAGCTGGAATATACCACAAAGAGTGTCTACACAGTTTGGGTACCCTTTCTTAATTTTCCTGTATTTTTGGCCAATCTTTATAGATTGTAGTACCACTAACTGATGTTCAGGTTTTTTACTTCTCTTACTCATTTAGCTAAAAAATAGACAACAGCAGTTTCAAATACATAGCAGAAACATTTCTTAAACACATAACTGAACATAATAGCATCTAATACATTTATAAAGCAAGAAAATAAGATGGATATTCCAGGCACAAAACCTGCACACAGTTAAAAACAAAATGCTTGAAAAAGGAGGCATGTGTATCATGCCTCCTGAACCCTTGTATGGCATACTTACCAGTCAGATTTGAAGTGAATATAAGCACAAAATTGTAATTCTGGTTCAAAATATGGACTTGTACACTTTATAATAATGCTTTTTACACACGACTGCATGCTGATAATTGGTTTATTCTGTGTGTGTCATACTAGTGGGCAGGCGCCATTCCTAACTAATCATAAATGTAGCAGAAAAGACATATAACGATTGCAAAGGAAATGCATCAATGCAGTTTTAATAGAAGCCACACAGATAAGAGCAGAGTAAACCTGGAGAATTGCTAATCAAACTTGTTTAAAGGAAGAAATGAGGGAACATGTACGTTAGTACACGCATAGGATGTAGAAAAGGGAGGTGCAAACACTTCTACATTTCCAAAACTATTCATTGCTTCATAGACCACCACAGATCCTGACTGAAGACAGATCCTTATTCTTCTCTCCCTCAAGATTTCAGGTAATGTAAATATTCATATCAAAATAACTAGCTTTACTTTGAAAGTCTTGCAAATTCATGTTAAATTCTTTGGAACTAAGTGATTAAACAGTGGTGGAAAAGTCAGGGGAAGGGAGTGCTCATTTTTTAACACAAACTGTAGCCCTTACAAAAACCCTCTGACAGGGCACAGTGGGCAGAATACAAGCTAAGCTTAGACAAAACCTATGTAGCCTGAGAGGGCAGAGTTTCCTCACCTGTCAGAAGGTTACCAGTCAATTTAGGGTCAGAGGACTGAGAATAAGCTGCAGGAGAGAATACCTTCCTGCTGATCCTGGAATTGAGCACACAAGACAACAGGACTCAGTAGCACGGTGTTTTGGATGCTCAGCATTATGTGCGTTAGTTCAAGCCTCTACTTCATTAGTACCAAATAACTACTGGAACAGGCATCCAGATATTTCCTTTCCCAGATGACTGAGATGGCTAAGAGAACCAGTGAACCTCAAAGAAACACACACTTGCTCTCTCTCTCAAGTCTGAGAAAAGCTTGATTGCTCCATGCAGATTTAGTTCAGGTATTCTCTGAGAACAGGAGATGGAGAAGTCAGTTTGAAATTCTTCAGGCAAAAATGTTCAGCTCAGCCCTGTTCCCTAGATATGCTCTGGGAGTATCAGCTTCTCCAGGCACAGCAGTAAGAGAAATCTGATTTGAAGGTCCTAGAAGTACTTAGGTGTGAGCTAGGCTGCAGGGCATGCACCTCGGGCATCCCTGAGAATGTTTCAGAGCAGTTGTGGAGCCATGGGAGGCTTTGAAATCAAAACTTAAGGATCCCAGAGTCTTTGGACATCTCTAACACTGCATGGCAGCTGGCTTTGAGGACAGAAGGTTTTGATTTAAGCATGTAAATTGTGGGTGAAGATAGATTAAAATGTCCAGTTGCTGTTGTTGTTCTAATGCTTAACCTTTCACCTGATGCCATCTTACACTGACTTCAATACATGTTTTAGTAGTCCTTTTACTGGTGAAGATAACAGAAATGTCTGAATTTATCCTAATATTTGTCAACAGTATTAGACTGATATAAAATGTGCTAATAAGACCTGGATCCACATGTGGAAAATAAGTTTAATCTTGTGGTTGGTTTGTTCTCATTTGCTTTAGTTTTGTCCTGTAAAATCACGTTTAGAAAAAGAAGTAAAACAAGGATGGAAGAGGTTCTGATCAGAAAGCAGACAAAAAAAGGGAAAAATTGTTGTTTAGAACACAAACTATATGGGGTTGTACGTAAGATACAAGAGTTTATTTGAAAAACTGTAAACAATTTCTAAATGTGTGTTTACCTACACCAAGAACATCTAAAAATCTACAGATCTCTAGTAGCCGTCAAGATACATGCACTGAATCACATGAATTCACCATGATTTTTCAGCAGAAAATAATAGCACATGAAGTTTAAAGAAATAGAAAAAAGCTCAAAGCAGCACAGTGACAAATGATCGTGTTTCACTCCCTCACAATTGAAGAATTCTAAAACTTAAGCAAATGGGGGTTTGAAACAAGTTGGGTCTGTGAAAACATTTCTAGCTAAAATTGTGCTCATCTGATGAAGCATAAATAAAAAGCTGAGGACATGGAGGAGTGATGGGGAAGGGAAAAATAATGCAGGTCTTAAAAAAGAGACCTACTAGCTGACTGTACTTGGTCTCTGTGCAGTATTTTACCCATTACACTGACACCCTCACACTGTATTTGAGAAGGTGCAGGCTATCTCCCACTAGCAGCTTTGTATTTGTTAAAAGAAGTGAAGAAGCAGTCACCACCTCTCTCTGACACTCATTTGTCTTAGGCTGTATCAATGGAGTCTCTCTCGGTGTCAACCAACAGCTTCACTCTGGACCTTTACAAAAAGCTGAATGAAACTTCCAGAGGCCAAAACATTTTCTTCTCTCCTTGGAGTATTGCAACTGCTCTCGCCATGGTCTACCTGGGTGCAAAAGGTGACACTGCAACCCAGATGGCTGAGGTAAGCTCTGAAATCAGCAGGATATCACTTCACAGGTTGTTGCCACATAACTTGCATTATTCTTCAGCTTGTGTGGAACAGAAAGGAACAACACAGTAGAACATAACGTTGGCACAGGAAATAACCCTGCTTGTGCTGCCAGCAATCCTGCAGGTCACTGTTCTTCCACTTTATTTCCAAGATCACCCTGCTCTGCAACACCCCACATTTAGCTTACACTTACAGCCCCTAGAGCATTGCAAGGGGTGCGCCAGAGGGAAGTTACTGACATTAAAGGCTGCTGCTGGTCTTACTTGGATCACTACCTTCCATTTTAATTGTCCTTTGAACAGAATAATCCACCTGATATGGTGCTCAAATAGTAATAAAAAGACAACTTTATTAAAAAAAAAATATGGAGCTAAGACATGCTACAGAAAAGCTGGAGATAGTATCACTGCTTTTAGACCCCAGGTGGTTCTGGAAAGAGTATATCTGCTTTCTCATACTGCATACCAAAGTCAGTAAGCTCTCCTGCACAGAAGCAGTACAAATACCTTTGCTTGAGACATAGTCCGTAAATGAAGTAATCTTCCCACAAATAATGAAGACATAATACTACTGGAAATATAACTTCAGTTGTGCCCACTTTTGCAGAATCATTCAATCTTTGTACTCTTCTAGGTTATAAACATTTATTTCAACACATTAAATGCAGAGTTTTCCATTTGTGTCCCAGCAGTAAGATTCTGAAGTGCACTATGCTCTTTGTTGTGTTTGGTCATGATCTGAAAATAAATTCCATTCAGCTAAGCACAAAATAAACATTCACCCAAATAAATTGATATTTACCTAAATAAATTAATGTTTCAGCCATAATATTGATCTATTATTAAGCAGTACATGTGATTGAATTCTATACAGTAATGATATAATTTATAGAGACTAAATTGAGAGTAAGGACTTGTCCTTAATAACTTGAATAGACTAAACTTCATTGGGCATGACTGGTGAATTACCATAGAAAACTAACATATAACTCTTGAGCACATTTATCTTCAAATAAAAAGCTGTTTTTATGAACATTTGTCATCATCACAGGTTCTTCATTTTAACCAGGCTGCAAGAGAAGAAAGCTCATCTGGGACAACAAGGCCTTCTCTGGGGAGTCCAAAGAGAAGAAAGATGGTATTTGTTACAAAAAAAGATTCAGAGAAAAAAAAATCTCTGAGAAGGAGATAGTTAAACACAACTACTGCTTTAGTTAGTTTACTGTTTAGTTTACTGTTAGCCTTTTAACATCTGCTTGTCTTCAGTCTGTATCTACTATAGCACTTCAGTGAAAACTATATATAGAAAGAGCAAATGCAAAAAAGCAGGCAAAGCTATTGTAAAACTCATGAACTTGGGCCTTCAAAGGCAGAACTGAAACACTAGTGGCACTTTGATTTGCCTAATACCACCTTATTTGGTTTTAATGGGTCTATGGAAGCAACAACAGATCAATTGTCCTGATATGCTTAGGACAATTCTGTCTTTTTTTTGTTTGTTGTTTTTTGTTTTTTGTTGTTGTTGTTGTTGTTGTTGTTGTTTTTTGTTGTTTTTTTTTTGTTGTTTTTTTTTAAGTGAAAAACAGTTACTGCATTCGCAATAAACTCCCTTCCACTTTTCTCATGCATGGACACATCAGGCAAACAAAATTCCTGTTTAAGCTAATGTATGTTCATAATGTTCATCAGCTCGCCAGAGACTTCCCACAGCGGGGTACTAGTTTTTCATCAGATGAACTCCCTAAGCACGGAAAGGCTTGTAGACTCAAACAAGCCATGTTTCTTCGGCACAGAAACTAAAAGTTCAAAGAAACTAGATTAGACAAACTGGAAATAAAAGGGGGAAGGTTATATAATTCTCTTCCTAGATGGAGGGGGACTGATCTTCAAGATGAATCATTACATCCATGTTCATTTTAGCAACTCACTGACATTCTGAGTTGTAGCAAAGTCTGCCTAATCTCGTCCTTTAGATATTTCCCTCTATTACCTCTTCAAGTCTGTTCCCATCCCATTGCAAAATCCAGCCTCTCCTATTCCATGCCCGCTGGCTACTAAATTCTTTCCTAGGAGTCCTTCCTAGCAGCCCATGTCTCAGCATGAGTGAGAAAACACTAGAGCAAGGAATGCCACCTGACCAACCTTATGACAAATCACCATGTGTCAGTGGCACACACTCTCGGTGTCTCATATGCAGGGCACAGTATACACCATGAAGGAGGAGACTGCACCCAAGCAGCTGGAGGGAAGTAGCTAACAGGTAGCAGTTTATTCCTCCATCAGCAATGCAACAGCTGGCAACAGCTTGCATGCTCCCTGAGACCATCAACGTTGACATTCAGGAAAAGCTCCCTCCAAAATTCAAATAGTAACAACAAAATTCATGTGAAACAGAGAAAATCTGAATAGTTGGTAAGTTCATGCCCTGACATTAGTGTCTATCAAAACAGAGCACCTTCTCAGCAGCTGCCAGGCTGCACTGACCGGGCCTTGTGAAACTGAAAAGTAGGCCTGACCATGACTGGAATGAAGAGAGTCAACTTCCTGGGTCTTGTTTCCCCAAAGGCCTGCATGGCACAACAGAAACAGATCATCTCCCTACAGACAGGAAACAATTTGTCCAGTTATACACAGTACTGCAAATGTGTAACATATCAAAAAAAGAGCTCCATCCCCCAAAACTCCATTTTAATTACAAGAGAATCCATACTAATTGGTGTCTCTTCCCAAGGATCCTGAGCACAAGCAAGCTGAAAACATCCACTCTGGCTTCAAAGAGCTGCTGTCTGCCTTGAACAAACCCAGAAGTACCTACTTGCTTAAGAGTGCCAATCGACTGTATGAGGAAAAGACCTACCCATTACTGCCCGTGAGTTTACATCTTTACTTGAGAATATTTTGACATTAAGAAGGATTATCAATAGACATTACAAAAAATCTCCAGATGATACCACTGTGGTTTCAGGGAGCACATGAGGGCAGACATGTGGGGTAGCCTTGGACAGACAAGAGGTCCATCTATCTGTAACAGTGGCCAGCAGTTTAGGAAATGCATGAGAACAAGGCATGCTGTGTAGTGATGTTTCTCCAAAATCTGCTGCAGGCACCAAGTGATCTGCAGCTCAGGGACTTCATGAATTTGCAGGCTTGCATTTTGAATCTACTGTAACCCTTATCTAGGGAACCCTCATCAGTGGCTGTGTCTTTTGAGACTGCTGACTGCTGGCATCATTATTGGTTTATTTTTCCTCTAAAGGATGCTTCTCCATATCTCTGGTCACCCAACTCACCTATCTCTGTATCTTTTACACTCTAGCATTTCTGAGACAGAGGAGGCCAGGGCTGCATATAGAACTCAGACAATGGGCTTGCCATAGCTTTATACAGTGCCATTCTAATATTCTATCTTTTGTTCCCTACTCCTTTCTTTGTAACTCTTGAATTTGTATTTGCTTTTTGATGGCAATTGGTCAGATTATTTTCCTATCAACTGCCCACTATAGCTTCAATACCTCGTTCCTAAACAGTCATAATAATTTTCTGTACCTTACACTTCACTGGATCATTTATAAATATTTTAATATTTATATGTTAATGCAAACATTTAGACCTTGGTTTTATAGAATAAATACTTTAGCACAGACTTCATCAGATATCTCTTTGGTACTCCAGTAGTAATTACCATTCACTGTGAAGAGTTTCCTCCTCCTCTTGGTTTCCAGTCTTTCAAACAAACAGGATCTACCTCTGTACTCCCATTGATGCTCAGCCTTTGGTGAGAAGTCTTAGGAAATGTCTTTGAAATGCCTTTTGGAATCCAAACAGATAGACTATAATGGCTCAACCTTTCTACCCATACCCTTCCCAACACCTTAAAAAAACACTAGCAGATTTATGATTTAGGATTTCCTATTACAAAATGCTGTTGACATTCCTTCAATACATCATGTTTACTCCTACACCCACTACACCTATTCTACTCATTTGCCCCGTACAGACTCATGAGTTTGTAATCACCTGTATTTTTGACATCTTTTTAAAAACTGAGGTTGTATTAATCATCTTCCAGTTTCCTGGAAGGTGGTTTCAAATGAGATTACTGTTCTTTGATCTTAGAGCTTGTTTGGTCTCCTAAGTAATTAGAAATCTGTCCCTCTGAAGTTTATTGCTCATTTTCTCCATAATCTCATGCTTTACAGGAAATCTGAAGAATTTTCTGCTGGGAATCTCCATGAACTGTTTCACAACAGACAGCAATGCAAACATTAATTCCGCTTTTTTCCTATGATTTTATTCTACCAGAATGTTCCCTTTATGGCTGATCCTTTATTGTCCTCACAAACTCTTGGCAGGCTCCTCACCTCTGTAGCAAACTAAAAGCCTTGTTTCAACTTCATATCAAACTATTCTTCCCTCTTGTACTGGATTAGAATCATAGAATAGTTAGGGTTGGAAAGGACCTTAAGATCATCTAGTTCCAATCCCCCTGCCATGGGCAGGGACACCTCACACTAAACCATACCACCCAAGGCTCTGTCCAGCCTGGCCAGGGCTGGAGCATGCACAACCTCCCTGGGCAAATGATGAATGAGTTATGAATTATGAATTCTATGATCTATGAATTCTACTTCACAAAGCAGGAAGTAATTAAATTATATAAAAAGGTCATTTTGAGAAGTTAAAATAACCACCACCACCAACAAAATCGAACCACCAAAATCCAAAACAACAAAAACCCAAAAGAAGAATGTTTCATGGGGCATTTCAAAATTACAAATTGCATATTGGATTTCAAACACAAAAATTTGAAGCATCAGATTCCTTGAGACTGAAGCTTGGTCTGTCCTTAATTTTTAGTATAGAATGTATTAGACATTATTTTTAAGGCTTATCCCATTCAAAACAAAGTATGTTTTCTTCAATTAAGTACCAGCTGATTGTATAATCTGTTGAAGTGATTATTTCTAACATTTTTATAATTCAAACTTAACTAAATAAGCATACATTTTCAAATTTTATCTTTCAGAAATTCTTACAGCTCATTACAAGCTATTACAACGCAAAGCCACAAGCTGTAAACTTTAAGACAGCTGCAGAACAAGCCAGAGCACAAATCAATTCTTGGGTTGAAAATGAAACTGAGAGTAAGTACCACTCTGGTGGCTTTTTTCTTGTCTAGCGTTCAAATAATTTGTATTTCCACATTTATTGCTCTTGTAGTCTTGAAAACTCAGGGGAGGTAATGAGCAAAGCACAGTTAAAAAGCATAAAGAATGTCTCTCTCCAAACTGATGCCCCTTACAAGGTCCTTCCCTTGATTCTTCATGCCATAGCCTCTTCTGAATTATTTCTGTACAGAGGAAGGCACAGGTAGATATTGATTGGCTTCACTCTGATTACTGAGGTTTTTACTTCTGCTTGCTTCAGCTGCCTGCAACCATCTTCACAGAATAGCCAAGCTATTCCACTTTACCCACTTTCCAATGACATTTACTGTCATAATTGCAACAAGTATCGATATACTTCAAAGCCATTTTAACCATATGTACACCATGAAAAATGTACAGTAAAAACTCCTCCCAAATGCAAACACCTTTGCTAGAGAGGTAGGCATAGAGAAGGAACAAATAAAATTGTTGAGTTATATAGTCCTACTGAAATAACAGTTCTATTTGTCTGATTTTGAAGGGAAAATACAGGGTTTGCTGCCTGCAGGATCTCTCAATTCTCGCACTGTGTTGGTCTTAGTAAATGCCATTTATTTCAGAGGAAATTGGGAAAAGAAATTTCTGGAGAAAAATACTTCTGAGACACCCTTCAGAGTGAGCAAGGTAAATTCCTTGTCTATATGCCTGTTATCATATATCAGTATGTCTATTGCTGAGGAGCAAGAAACCTCTAAATACTTAACCCACATTTCATATGCCACTGAAACGCTCCTTGTAGCTGGACACATGGCATAAACTCAGTGAGAATAGCAACTGTGAAAAGAACTCAGCATTATCTTATCCATGCATATTCATGAGAATAAGATTTTTAATTAATAGCTCTTCTGTATCAAAACATTTGAGAACACCATGGTTAAGCAGCTGAAGGACAAGAGGAAATAAGTACCAAAGTCCGACTTTCAAAACAGACTGAGTTGCTTTTGAGAGCACTGTTTACACACCTACAGCTCTCTTCTGTTTTTAAGACACAGTCTATACTCTGAATTAAGGAAACTGAACAAGCTGTTTGCCTGCTGGGTGTTGCACAAAACCTCAGAGGGAATTTTCATGGGGGCTGTCATTTTAGCTGAGTGCATGAGGATGATGTATTCAGCATACATGGGGGGCATGTTATTGAGCTGACAGTATTTAGTGTACTGATGATTCACAGTAGCTGACTGCATGCAGATTTTTGGACTGCGCTAAAGGCAAGCAAAATTATTCATCAATGGGAAGTATCTTGTTTGACATAGATTACGAGTGCAAACACCTTTTGTGTGCCAGGCAAGATGAAGCAATTATGTCAATGATGTGACTGTGTACCTAAAACCTACTGTGTACCTACTATGCTACATGTGTGGTTTTAGGATTCATCATGATACATGGTTGTGGTGGGTTGGCCTTGGCTGGCCACCAGCTGCCCACCAAGCCTCTCTATCACTCTATTTCTCAATTGGACAGAGAAAGAAAAACAGGATGAAAAGCTCCTGGGCCAAGACAAAGACAGGGAGAATGTACCAATTACCATCCTGGGCAAAAAAAAAGCCTTGGTTTAGGAAAATTAATTTATTGTAAATTAATCAGAGTAGGTTAATAAGTAATAAGACCAAATACAAAACACCTTCCATGGCTCCTTCCTTCTTTTAGGCTAAACTTCACTCCAAACTCTTCTTTCTATCCCCAAAGGCAGTGCAGAATGATGGGGAATGGAGATTGCAGTCAGTTCATCCCACATGGTCTCTGCTGCTCCTCACAATTTTTTGCTCATGTGGAGATCCTCTCATGGGATATAGTCATTCATGTCCAACATGAGTCCTTCCCATAGGCTGCAGTTCTTCATGAACTGATCCAGTGTGGGTGCCTTCCATGGGGTGCTGTCCTTCAGGAACGGGCTGCTTCAGCTTGGGTCCTCTGTGGGGTCACAAATCCTGCCAGCAAACCTGCTCCAGCATGGGCTCCTCTTTCCATGAGGCCACAGGTCCTGTCAGGAGCCTGCTCCAGTGCAGGCTTCCCACAGGGTCACAGCATCCTTCGGACATCCCCCTGCTCCAGTGTGGGGTCCTCCACAGGCTGCAGGGTGGTTATCTGCATCACCATGGTCTTTACCATGGGCTGCAGGGGAATTTCTGCTCTGATGCCTGGAGCACCTACACCCCTCTTTCCTCACTGACCTTGGTGTCTGCAGAGCTGTTTCACTCACATACTCCTCTCTCCCAGCTGCTGTTGCACAGCAGTTTTTACCCTTTCTTAACTATGCTATCACAAAGATGTTACCAACATCACTGACTGGCTCAGCTTTGACCAGTGGTGGGTCTGGAACTGGCTCTGCCTGAGATGGAGGCAACTTCTTAAGTCTTCACACAGAAGTGACTCCTGCACTCCCTTGCTACAAAAACCTTGCTATGTAAACCCAATACACTGTGCACAGAGACAGTTTAATTCACAGGATACATCATAGCAAAGCCTGTGAACAGATAAACTTCTGCACTCAAATGTAACAACGTGAAGCTGAGAGTGGATATATTAGTAAAAGCTCTGTGAACAAAGCACAGTATAGGAGTTCAAAAGACTATGGTGTAATGCAGTTCCATTTGGTAATCCAGTCCTGTCTGGTTTGGGGAAGAGGAAAAGCCAGCACAAGCCACAGAAAATATGGTTCAGAAACAAGTGAGATGATCAGTATTGCCTGAAAGGATAAAACAGGATGGGAAGGATAAAACAGGGTAAAACAAAAGTGTTGATGGCATCCCCAAGAAGAAAGGGAACATTTTTTTCCCCCAATCAAGGCCCTTACTCCAAAAATGTAACTTTTGGGAGAAAACATGAAATACTCACAGCAGTTATTTGCTTATCAAAGCTAACCTAACTCCTTTATTTTAAAACAAGAAACGTGATTCAGTTAGCAGGTATGTATGTGTCTATGCTGATTTTTTTTGTAAGGATCCAAATGACTTTGAAAAGAGGAGTGTATGTGATACCATACGAAAAGGGCACTGTGTATCCAAATGCTGCTGTGTCTTGTACTTGTTTGCAAATTTTTGCTTTCAGTGCAACTAAGCAAGTAAACTTCCATTTAAGGAATGAAGTAACTATTTTTTTCATGTCTGATTTTTTTCACATCTGATTTTTTTCACATCTGATTTTTTTCACAGACCAAGACTAAACTGGTACAGATGATGTTTCTGAGAGATACATTTTTGATACTCCATGAAACAACCATGAAATTCAAAATCATTGAGCTGCCATACGTGGAAAATGAACTGAGCATGTTTGTCCTCCTACCAGATGACATCAATGATAACACTACTGGTCTGGAGCTGGTAAAACTGACCTGCTGTTGTGTCACATACACTATGATACAGTAACAAAAACAGACTAAAAAAGTGAGGAAGAATAAGCTTCAAAATCATGGTAGAATAAGTTTTGATGTGTGCATACTTTGTTTCATTAACACCATAACTTCCCAGCTCCTAAGCTGAGGGCATCTGATAGTATTGCACACATAGTATTTTACTTACAGATGCATCTAAAAACTATGTCTGCACAACTGGCTTAGACTGTTTTGCATCCTCTTTTCTATTGCCAGAATACCACAAACAAAGGAAGGACCAAATCTGAATCACTGCGCTCTGAAGTTATCTTCTCCTAAGAGCTGTATTAATTAATTTTTATACCATTCACAGTCCAGATTTGCACCTGGTATTTTGTGGTATTTTGTGTGTATTTTCTCAAACTAAGTGTTGACTATCCCGACCCAGAAGGTATCAACAGCCACTCATGACCATGCCAGGATAAGTTTCAGATTCTAAACAGATCAGGACAAGCATCTTCTTATTTGTACCTCAGGTCCCACGCATTCCACTTATTTCCCACTACTAGGAGTAAAGTTATCCATATACACACAAAGCAAGAGCTTACTAATATCATTATAAGTCACACATTGCAAAAAAGCAATATTCTTCACACCAGGAAAAAAAATATAACTACTCTGAGGTTTCAGGCCTACACCTCACTACCTTTAAGAAAATAAACAGGAGTATAAGTCACACAGAACTTTGCAGGATCATGCCTTATGAATATGGCGCATGTTCCAGCTGTAGCCACTGCTGGTGGCTGGGTTTTGTTTTACATGTTCTTGATGAGTGAAGCATGAAATCAGACTCTACAACTCAAGGAGAGTTATAAAGCAGGTATGTTTATTATGGGCCCAGGTGCAAGAGGAATCGCTCCTCCTAACTTGCACACCAAGGGGTTAAGCAAGCAGGTATTTATTACACACAAACATGCACATTCATTACGTTTCCTGAGAGATCAGTGGGGCTATTACAATTAGTTTAGGAACTCATTATCATAAGTCTTCTCCCTTTTGGCAGTTGCACACTGCCCTCCGACAGTCATGGACAGGGGTCTTCAAGATGAAGTAAGAAGTCTTCCTCACAGTGTACTTTTCACCTTTGGCACAGTTAGATGCCCCAGTAATCACAAAACTACCTGAAACCAGCCATATCTCTAAGTTTCTGATAGCTGGCAAAGAGTTAGAACAGTGTGACCTTCGTATGAAATTTATTGCAAGCAAAACAGGATGGGCAGACAAGAAGTATCCTAAGCTAGCCGATGTTCGGGAGTCACTGTCTCCAAACTAACCGATAATTAGAAGGATGGTAAGAAATAATTCAGTCATTAGAAGGATGGTAAGAAATAATTCACTCACGTTAGTAAGACTACTAAATTCTGTTACCACACCACAGACTTACAACACAAACATTGTTCTCTATCTTAGACCTAAGCTAAGTTAAAAGTATTTCAACCCTATGTTTTCCAGGCACTTGCTTTCCTTATATGATGAGTGTTATGACACTGGTATGCGCATGTCTTGTCTCTGTCCTTCATATTCCAGCTGTTTTCCTCCTTGATTCATTGCAGGTAGAAAGAGAGCTGACCTATGAGAAATTGGCTGAATGGACCAAATCGGCCAATATGATGAAAGCTGAAGTGGATCTGTACCTGCCCAAGCTCAAGGTGGAAGAGAATTATGACCTTAAATCCACTTTGAGCAGCATGGGAATACAAAATGCTTTTGACCCCCTTCAGGCTGATTTCACAGGGATGTCAGTGAAGAAGGACCTTTTCATCTCAAAAGTTATTCACAAAGCTTTTGTGGAGGTCAACGAAGAAGGTACTGAGGCAGCAGCTGCCACAGGTGTTCTGGTGATGAGATCAAAAGCACCAAGAATGACTTTTAAAGCTGACCACCCTTTTCTCTTCTTCATCAGACACAACAAATCACAAACCATTCTCTTCTATGGCAGACTCTGCTCACCCTAGTCAGTTACTCCTGGCCCTGCAGCGCCAGAGATGCTTGCTTGCAATTAGGTGGAGAAGGACCTTGACCCTTTCTCCATCAGGCCGCAAACCCAGGGCCAGAGGCATAGCTCTTCCTGTGCCCTCCCTCTTACCCTGAAGGGATGGGTAAACATGACAGGGCCAAGAGGAGGGCACAGTGGCTTGCTTCCATAGAGCAATCCTGGTTGTCATTCAGACCAAGCCATCAAGGATAGCTCTGTCCTAACCATTATTAGCTGTGGCATTTCTATCCCTTCCCCTCTGAGCAGTGCATACAAACACATGCTAACACAGTCTCTCTCCTCACCCCATGACTAGTGGTCTGGGCACTTAATCCCAGCTTGCAGCAGTTACATCCTGCTTAGCCCTCAATTCGGTCCTTGCATTGCAGCTGGAGGCAGACCCTCCACACCCAAGGCCTGTGGCTATCCCCTTGTCTTCCTTCCACATCCCAGGTTTAAACCTTCAGCAGCTCCGAATTTAACTTCAAATTAGCTTCACATGCATGTCACTCCACGGATTTCCTTTAAAAAAAAAAATAAATAAATTAAAAATACACCTCTACAGGGACTATTTGCCTCACTCAGACCCTCGGGTACACGAGGAGGGCCCAAGCCTGTACAGCAGCAGCTCATTTTCGTTTAAAACAAGCCCTGCTTCAAAAGTAATCAGTAACAATTATAACCTGCCATGGGCTGGGGGTGTTTCCTGTCAGCTCTGCCACGCGAGGGAGGCAGATCTGGAAAATCACCGGCTGTGCCCAGGGAGATACTAAAGCGCGGGGGGGGGGGTGGTGACGGTGACGGTGAGGAAGGTAATGCTCTTGGCGGGAGTGGGCGGTGGCTGGCCGCCATTTTGGCCGGTGCGGTCGCGGCGCTTGCCCGTTGGCCGCTGCGAATAAGGAAGCGCCGTAGCCTCCGGCTCAATCCCGGGGCGCGGCTGAGGAGGGGCCGAGCTGCCGGCCTTTCCCCCGGCTCCGCGGCGCTTCCGGGAGGAGGGAAGCGCGGCGGCCGGTGGGGTGAGTGTGCTGCTGGCCTGGGGATGCCGTTTCCTACGGGGAGCCTGTGCTGCAGAGGCTGCGCGGCGTTGCTTTTGTGCCTTTTTCTCTCTCGTGGTTTCTGCTTCTTGCCAGCTGGAGTCGCAGTGGCGTGTAGAGGGCGTATTTCATGTGTAGAAATGATGGGGCCACGCAGAAGTGTTTTGGTGTCTTTCGTGGTGACAAGTCCAGTAGGGGCGCAGAGGAGGGTCTTCTCGTCCTAGGGAATACCAAGCCCTTGTCTGTGCCTGAGCTTGCTGGGATGGGGTCAGACCTTGGAGACCCCCGGCTCCTTAGGGGGCCTTAGGGCCGGTGATGTTGGGTGCTCATGGAGCTGTGTCATTCCCTGTATCCTGCTGCTCGCCCCAGAGAGGTGTGATGTGAAGAGCAGCTGTCTGGAGCTGTTAGCAGTTTTACCTTTCAGATGTCTGAACATCTGTCCTGACTCTCCTAAACCTAAGTGAAGCCTTCTTCTCGAGAAAGGTTGCTTTCGTTCAGAGGGTAGAAAAAGATGTCTGTCCCATATACGCAGCTCTCTCTGTCGAGAGTGACACCACCTGATGTTCATCACCCTGAGTTCCTCCTCTGACTTTGTTTGAAACAGTTGTTTTGTGATTCCTCAGAGGCAGTTGACGTTGGATAGGCATCTCCATATAGTGGGCACTAATCTGTGTTGTACACTTGCTGGCATATGTCTCTTGGGCCACAGGCTGGAGCTCCCTGCACCCTGCTCTGGCCAGGTCCCCCCATGGCAAAAACAGTAGCTGAGAGGGACACTGTAGTGTGTATCTGCTGTTGGAGGTAGATACAGCCTGTCCCTGAAGACTTTCCTAAAGCATAGGGGTCTACTGCTGAGAATATATGCTTCAAATTCTTAGTGGTAGGAATGAACAGGGTCAGGGCACCCAGGAACTTCCACAGGGAGACCAGAGTGAGGAATGAGTTGCTGTCAGCAAACCCTGTGATCACTGAGGGTTTTGCAGCATACAGTTTATAACTGAGTGACAAATATATGCTCGTGTCATACATTTTTTTGTTCCTTGAAGTGCAGCCATTGTGTATGTCCTGGATTCAGCAGTAGCAGTCATTTTTCTCCTTAGTAGCTGGTGCAGTGCTGTGTTTTTTGACTTTAAGCATGGGAACAATAGCTGATAACAGCTGTTGAAATGTTACTTATAATTTGGTTAAATCCACTGATTTTCAGGTAGGCAAAACGGCATGAGTTATATCCCTTTGTCTGTTAGATCTTGCTTGGTGTGGCAGCCCTACAAAAACTTTCTAGATAATAACTGCTTATAGGTGTCACTATTACTGTGTGTTTTGGCCTACAGGTCAAAAAAATCTTATTGCTAGTAATCTGCAGGTATTAGGACAGTAGGGAAATTTGGGGGGTTGCTGTAACCACCACAAACTGAAAATGCAAAGTGCCTCTTAGTTATGCTTTAAAGTATGTGTAGTTAAATTACTGATTTCACACAGAACTGGAGGATTGCACCCCACCTCTGCCCTCCTTTTCGGTTATGGGAGAAGAGAAACAGGATAAAAGTTACTACTGTTTATAGCGGAGCTACTAGCAGAAAATTTTCTTAGGCGGAAAATCAGGCATGCAGAAACTTGTCCTTTCCACCTAATTTTTTGAGATAATGAATCAGTGATATGAATCAGGTGTTGGTTTTTTATTTGGTAGCAACATATCAACAGTAGGCACTGCCTTAAGGGAAGGAAAATATGCAGATGACTTTACTGCCAGCTGATAGTTTACAATGTTTGGTGATATTTACTACAGTTAAGTCAGAATTCTACTGTTTATTGCTCCATTAATAGGTGTGTGGTTTAATCTCGGGTTAGCTGCCTACGCATCTGTGTACGTAATGTATATCGGGCATACACATGCCTGATATACACTATGTACATACAAATAACGTGTGTTGCACTGTGCATGTCCCATAAAGTTATCTGGAAGCAGGGCTGGTTTTTTTGTGTGTGTATATGTCTGTGTGTGTTTCCGTGTTGCAGGCAATAAAATGGAACTGAAATGGACTTTGATTTTTCTTTGTACTATAGGAGGAAATTACAGTAATTGTCATGCTGACCAAGTAACTTTTTTTTTCTTTTTAGTCTTGTAGGTCAAGTAATTCTGCAGACGTCTGCCAGAGTGGCTGTTAGGTATAAAACACAGCATGCACATGTATCAGTAAGCTGAAGGTAATACTGAAGATACATAGACTTAGACAAGGTAAGAATTTATAATTCTGCTATTGTGATACCTGATCTTTTGCTCTGGTTTTCCTGTAAAGGCAGATAACTGTCTTTGTGAGGTCAAAAGCGACTTGTTTCAATAAATCCTAAGCAAAATACTGTTGTATCTGATTGTCTCAAAAGATGTAGTATTATTTACATAGTGAAGAGTCTAATGACACAGGTGGGAACTGCTATCTCTTTTACAGGTATAGGATTTAAATACAAAAGCAAACAATAAATTGCCAAAATAACTTAAGTTCCTACTGTGCCATTTAAGGTGCGTGTTCCACCAAATCAGTTTTTCAGCGACTTGATAATTTTCCAATCTAATTGTGACATTTTCTGTGTAGTTTATTCTGGGAAATGTAAAAGAAATAAGTTTTCAGTTTATATTAGAATAAATTTGAGTCATTCTTATTTTATATTTCGTCTCCCAGGCTCTGAACCATGGATAGCCTCTGTGCAGCAAATACTGCTTTTGCGCTCGACCTCTTAAGAAAGCTGTGTGAGAACAGAAGTGGGCAGAATCTGTTCTTTTCTCCTTTTAGTATTTCTTCTGCATTGTCTATGGTTTTGCTGGGTTCAAAAGGTGACACTGGAGCCCAAATAGTAAAGGTATGTCTCAATAAACCTAGTGTATTGAATTTGATGGGACTATATGAGCAGCAGATCAGTATTACATACTGTGACCTGAACTTCTGCAAAACTATTATTGTCATTCTGGTTTCAGAGAGCAGAGGTCTTTATTTGGTATGTATGTAAGCAGTACCTGGTTTTACTGGTTTTATAGGAGGACCTTTCTTTGGTATGAAATTCAGAGGTTCCTGTTTAGTTTTGTGTGTGGTTTTTGTGTGTTTGGTCTTTTGAGACAGATCTTCCTTCAGTATGTCATTAAGAGCTACCTGGGGTTTTTGTGTAGGTTTGATGAATTGAGCTACATAAAATACTTTCTTCCAGTATGTTCTTTTTGCTTAATATCAGTCTAAACATGTTTTGAAAATGTCGCCAGGCTTAACTTTTTTTAAACTTGCTCAGGTAGCAAATACTACTTGGTGTGTTTTTTACATATGCAACTGACTATTGAAAGTATAATCAGTCATTTTTGTTCCTATGTTTGCCTATTTTGGAAGTGGAAAAAGAGTATAAACACAGTTTTTTAAATGTATGGAAATTCCTTTAAAATAGTATTGTTGCCATTCTTGGAGCCATCTGGACGTGGTCCTGGGCTGCTGGTTGTAGATGGCCCTGCTTGAGGAGGGGGGTTATACTAGGTGATCTTCAGAAGTCCCTTCCAACCTTGATGATTTTGCTACACTGTAATGCTTGGCTTGAGTGAAGGAAACTAAATACTGCTGACTCTTCTGCTCCCTAATTCAGTACTTGTACAACACCTGTCTGGGTACATCATATGTGACTTGCATGATAAGCTCCAGATGGGAGGCTTAATGAAAAATCTTTTGTCTTCAAGTCAGTTTTTAACCCCAAAAGTCATTAAGAAAAAAATAATGTTGAAGCAAGTGTGTTTAGGGAGGGCATGGACTCTTGCTGAGGATGTTTGTCTTTCTACAGGTGCTTTCTCTGAAAAAGGCTGAGGATGCTCACAATGGGTATCAGTCACTTCTCTCTGAAATTAATGATCCAAACACCAAATATATACTGAGAACTGCTAACCGACTTTATGGAGAAAAGACATTTGAGTTTCTCTCAGTAAGTAACCATTAAATTTGTGTAATTTTTTTAGTATAATGTATTGGCTTCCTATTTCCTTCAGAGGTCTAAGACAAGCTTTGGATTTTACTTTCCAGTTTTTTTGGGGTGACACCTACTAATGCAGTAGGTTATGCCAGAGCCTGGTATCTGAACTTGATGGAGAAGCTCCTTTTACGTAACCTGTGACCCAAGTGCACAACTGGTGCAAAGCACTATGAAATCCATCAGACTCCTAATTCTTCAGGATTCCATGATCCATCCATATTTTTGGCTGTGGGACAAATAGTTGACATACCTCTTTTCCCTTGATAGTGTGTAAATATGATACAAAAGAATTGTCATTCCTATTCAGCATGGGCAGTATTTTGTAGTTCTATTACATAAGCCATCCAAAGATCATGCTGAGAGGAATAAATGACTTAAGAGATTTTCCTTGTCAGAAGATCTAAATAAGGGTAGTAGGTACTGTGTTACATGTGTTCCTTTAGATGATTGCCTAAGAGCAAGAAAATAAAAGGCTCTACTTTCCCCCTCTTTTTCCTTTTCCCTCCCTAGCCTTCCCCCCAGGGAGTAATTTACGATGATTCTTTTTAAGAAGAATGGTAGTATTTCATCTGTCTAATAGATAAAACTTATGTGGGTTGTACTTTAAAACTTTGCATCTGTATAATAAAAATCTAGGTATATTAAATCGGACAGAAGGTGTGGCTTTTTTCCTAAGAAAAATCAGTTTACCTTCTGAAGAGTTTTCTATAACCTTGGGAAGTTTAACAATGAAATTTATGTCAAGAGAAGCTTACAAAATTATGTTCTCTCAATGAAGAAAAAAATGAACACCAACTAACCAAAAAACCTAGCTACATCAGTTTTCAGTTAAGTTACGTAGAACTTTGGCATGTGATTTAGCATACAGTGGACAGTTCCTGGTTCAAATAGATGGTATAAAACCTAATAGGAATGTGAAAGCAAAACTTCAATGGCTCAATATGAAACTGGGGGAGAAGAGTGGGCAGATTTTCTTGGTGTATTTGGGAATCATATGTGGCTGAATGAGAGTAAAATGTTGAAAAGCTATTCTGAATGTCCGTGTTAGTCCTTTGTAGAGTTGAGTAAAAAATCCTACCATGCTGGACTAGAAAAGACTGACTTCATGCGTGCGTGGGAGGATTCCAGAAAACAAATAAATGGCTGGGTAGAGGAAAGGACTGAAGGTGAGTGTTCTGCAAGATGCTATATTGTATTTAACGTCAGCCCTGGCTTGGGTAAAGAGCTATTTCAGGATATAGTATTGTGAATTAAAAAAAAACGCCAACCAAACATTGAGCTTGACATTGAGTTCGTGCTCTGTTTGGTACATAATTCTCTCATCTATATTAATTACAGAGTAGGTACTATATTAGATAATTAGATACGTATCAAACTGTTTAAATAAATTCCTTTTTCTCCCCCCCCGCCATGTATCGTAAAGGTAAAATTCAGAACCTGTTGGCAGAGGGCATTCTCGATTCACTGACCAGACTTGTGTTGGTGAATGCCATCTATTTCAAAGGCAACTGGGCAAAGCAGTTTGACAAAGAGAGGACAGCAGAAGTGCCATTTCAAATAAACAAGGTATGATGTGCTAAAATGCTGACAATCCACTGTTACTCTGAAGCACTCTGAAATGAGTACATTTAACTTTGAAGACAGGAAAAAAAAAAAATTCGTGCAAGCAGGGTTACTTTGGGTAGGCTGTATGAAATACCTTATATCCTCTCACTTTAATATGAGCACTCTTTGTTTAGTTCCTGTTAAGTTTCACATAATTACTAGAAACTTTAATATAACAACTAAGTATTTCTTTCATTCTGTCTCTTCTTTCTTCCTTTTGCCCTGCTTGTTTTTTTTTTGCAAGAAGTAGCTCTCTATGTAGTTACAGAGCTCAGAACTGAAGAGAACAGTTGAGTAAAGCTGCCATGCTGTTTGCGAGTTGTGAACAATTTCACAAAAGTTTGTGAATTTCATTATTTCATGATAAAACCGGTGAGGATAAGAAAAGAAAATTTCCTTTAGGTTGTAGGCAGAAAGCTGCAGTTACATGTGTGCAAAACTTGTAAGTCTTCAGTCACTGCTCCCCCCCCCCATTTCTACCATTTCTATCCAAAACAAATGTAAAATTAGAAATAAGTCTTTGAAGACCCCATGCTATACTTGCTTTTAGAAATGTATCAGTGCCATTGAAGAAGCCTTGGCTACTATCATTAGCAGGATATGACTGCCCCTCAAGATCACCGTAAACTCTGGGTCTGCCTCCAGATGTCACTAGCAAAAGCTGGTAACATGACTTCCTTAACTTCCCTGCTTAAAATAAACACTATTCAAAACTGAAGCCCTCCTGTCTGATTTCAAACCATCCCTCCCCCAGCGGTGAAACATATTAGCTTGAACTGCTAATACCACTTTTCAGTTAGGAGTGTTGCTGCTCACCTCATACTCCCTACTGCAGCACTTCAGAAACCACTGGACTGACCTGGTTCCTGCTGCCTTGCCCTCTCACTGTTGAAGCATGTTGAAAAAAAAGCTTGCATGGTATCCAGGCATACTACTGAATTTTCTTTTCCTTGGACTAGTACAGACTTAGGATGTCCTGAAATTAGGAAAGGGATCCAGAGAACTATTGGAGAAAGTTAAGATGTAGGATTTGGGAATGCTGCCTTGGCTTACCCAAGGAACTTGCTTTTAAACACATAGAGAACTGCAGGTCTCTTTCCTCATAATACTTAATGGATAAAGTTTGTATTTTCATCCTATTAATGACTAGCCACTGATGGTCTGCGTAAGTGTGTGAGTGGACTCAAATGAACAATTGGCAATCTGAGGTGTAACCTGAAGTTTTAAGATAGCTGTCTTACAGTGTGCCCAGTGGGAAAGAGTTACATTAACATCCCAAGAGCCTTTCCAGCATCCTGTGACATTACTTCTCTGATGCTTGCACCTCTTGAAACAAAATGATTTTCATGTGCTGTGTGGCCTTTTCTTTGCCTATTCATAGAATCATTGAATCATAGAATAGTTAGGATTGGAAAGGACCTTAAGATCATCTAGTTCCAACCCCCCTGCCATGGGCATGGACACCTCACACTAAACCATATCACCGAAGGCTCTGTCCAGCCTGGCCTTGAGCACTGCCAGGAATGGAGCATTCACAACTTCCTTGGGCAACCCATTCCAGTGCCTCACCACCCTCATAATAACTTCTTCCTTGTATCTAATCTAAAGTTCTCCTGTTTAAGTTTGAACCCGTTGCCCCTTGTCCTATCAGTACAGTTCCTAATGAAGAGTCCCTCTCCAGCATTCTTACAGGCCCCCTTCAGATACTAGAAGGCTGCTATCTTTTTCTTGTGTCGCTGCTGCAAGATAATTTCTGCCATATTCTCTGTGGGTATTGTTTCAATGGCCTTTATTTTAAAAACAAAAAAACTACTTACATGGTTATCTCATGAAGGTAAAGGAGAAAGTAATGAAGCTCTTAACTGAAAAGATATTAAATAATTATGTGAATTACAGTAGCTGATGTACCATGTGAAAACGGAAGGAGATACCAGAGAATGAAATTTAGGAGAAAAATCTTACACCTTCTTACTATCCATGTGACTTAAGAATTCAAAATAATGTTCTCCCTTTCTCAGTATTTTTAATAAAATTTTAAAGTATTTTAATTTCTCTTTGTTTACAGCACTTGGAGCCACATAGACTAAAAATGAAAATACCTACATTGAAACAGCTCTGCATTCATTTAAAGCAGGGAACATGGGTTCTGCTTCTTACCAGCTCTGTTTAGTGCTTGTCACTAGTTGTTAAGAGGACAAACATGTCTTTGCCTTTTTTTCCTTAAAGGAAACTTGACAGAAATTTCCACATTAGTAACTAAAAATTAAGTCTTAGGGATCCTTACTTCTTCACAAAAGGCAGTGGTGAGGCTGAGCTCTGTGTTGTGTTTAGTTCTCTTTAGTCAAATTATTAAAAGCCCTGAGTAACTGGATGCCTGCTTTGTATTTTGAGACCAGCATACTCACTCAGTACTACCTGATAACATCTCTTTACTTTTAGGAAGAGACCAGACCTGTGCAGATGATGTGCAGGAAGGATAAGTTTAACATGGCCTATATTTGGGACTTGCAGACCAAAATCCTTGAGCTCCCTTATGTTGGTAATGAACTCAGCATGATTATCCTGCTCCCTGATGCAATTCAGGATGGGTCCACTGGCTTGGAAAGTGTAAGTTGTTGAGATAAATGCAAGTCTGTGTCCTTCTGGGGAAGAAAGTTTGATATTGCATATAGAACTGTAGTTCAGTTCCAGAGTTTTATGTCACTGGTGTTTAGCACCAGCTGAAGACCTGACCCTCCTCAGCACCAGGTGTTAGCTGTGGTTATGGTGAGGGCGTGGTGTGCTGAGGAGCATATGTGGTGAGAGGGGTGTTGGGGAAGCTCTTAGGAAGTCCTATAGCTTGTCCCATAGATTTTCTGTTCTGAACAGCTGGCAGGTTGTCCCTGCCCACTTCCAGAGAAGCTCACAGGAAAATGTAGGATCTCTTCTGTTGTGGAGATATGACTCAATTTTTTTGGCTATTGCATGCCCTGGACAAGAATTTATTTATAAGGTTTTCTAACACTGACTGCAGGGGGCATTGTGAGCAGACTTTTTCATCAGCCTGTCAAACCAAGGGAGGATGTTCTGGTTAAGAAATAGAGGAACTGGGTTTGGTTTCTTTGAGAACTTGTCATTAGTTCTTCTCTGCCTTTGATTCCCATATGCAAAATGTAAAAAGCCCCCAATCTAACATGTTTTATAAAAGTAAACTTTACATAGAAGGGACTGATCCTTACTGTATCTACCAAAAAGCATGTGGGATTGATCTTGGCTCAAGCTGTAGTTCTCTAATGAGAAGCAGAACTTGCATTTCTGGCTTGAGATGCTCTAAACCCTGGAAGAAAGATGCATGTTATGCACTGTATAAACAAACACAGTAATTACTACTTATGGCTGAATAAAACTGTTTTTAATTATGTAAATATTTGGGTTTTCTTTAGCTGGAAAGAGAACTCACATATGAGAAGGTGACAGATTGGCTCAATCCACAAGCAATGGAATGCACAGAGGTGAAAGTGTCTTTACCCAGATTTAAACTGGAAGAAAATTATGATCTGAAACCCCTCCTGAGCAGCATGGGAATGCCTGATGCGTTTGATTTAGGGAAGGCAGACTTCTCAGGGATTTCATCTGGCAATGAGCTGGTGCTTTCAGAAGTCATTCACAAGTCCTTTGTGGAAGTCAATGAAGAAGGCACTGAAGCAGCAGCTGCCACAGCAGGAGTGATGATGATGCGCTGTGCGATGATTGTTGAAGACTTCATTGCAGATCATCCCTTCCTTTTCTTCATCCGGCACAACAAAACTTCCACCATTTTGTTCTGTGGGAGATTTTGTTCTCCCTAGAAAGAAGATGTCTTGGCTGCCATTACACAGTAACTTTCTGTTTCTTTGGAATAGGGCTACTCTTTTTGCACTAATTGCCTCTTTCAGCTGTGCCTGAGTCCAGTTCTGTGGTCTTCATCTCAGGCTTGATAGTATAAGGGAGCTACTTAGACACATGGAGTCAATGCCATCTAAATCAACTCTTAGCTGGTGCACCTCAGCGCAGAGATGTCTTCACTTCTTGCTGACACAAGAAACATCCCACTGGCTCAGCCAGTGCTTCCTCTCTCCTTGCAGATCCCATTTCGGCTTTACTTTCTGTGGCTACCTGGTAGAGTTGGGCATTGACTTCCCACTGGAAAAGAAGGTGTTAATTTGGTTCTGACAAGGCTGGAGCATGTCTTCAGCTCCCCTCCCCCTTTTTCCTCCCATCCCCTGTCTTTTCTTTTTCTTCCAAACTCATCCACTTAATCTCTTGATACATTCCCTAGAGATGAAAGGAGCCTTTAGCAGTCTGTTCCAAGTGTTGCTAAGCAACCTGATGAAATAGGGGTTTTGGATAATAACTGGACAAGCACTTAGGCAAGAATGGGAATAAAAATATGGCTTTGTACCAGGTGTCCTTGTAGGGTAATCATGGAGTGAGAAGTGTTTTATCAGCAGAGGACACCCGAGTTTATTACCTATCAGCTGGTTCTAGTCCTTTAAAGAATGTAATGAAAAAGCATATGGTGCCTATGCAATATTTGAATAACAAAGACTTTCTGCTGTGATAGATCTTTCCTGTTCATTGTTTCTTAAACATTTTAATGCAACTGCATAATACCAAAGATATAGCTGAAATAGCTTTCCTAATAGTTTTGTTTTGCTGTTTCTATTCCTAAAATAATAAAAGAACTTGAAGTGGTGTGAGTCTTTAACCATAAATTATGCCTTTATTTCTTAAATCTGTAGTATGAAAAATCCCAATTACCTCTTGATACAGTACAACCAGCTTCTGGGTACTTGCTGGGTTTGACAATGAATTCCAAACATTCTCCAAGTACTGCAGTCCTGCGGCGCTTATTTAGGTTGCCACGGCATTTGGTGTTGGCATTGTGAAGATTTTTAACAAAGAGCTGTTTTTGTGCAGGACTGCACTGTTACCTTTTTGTGCACAATTCCAAAGCATTTGACTGTCATCCAGATAGTGCTGGATTGCACTGCTTATTTCAGTACACTGTAACTTGGCTGTCTGGGGTGAGGGAAATGAAAGTGCTATGTGATTTGAGGGGTGGGATATATCAGAGCTTTAATACAGGGCTAGTGCTTTGCTCCCAAAGCCAGTGGGGTGGGTTCCTGGTGACTTGGTGGAGAAAACAATCGAGTTGAGCCCAAGAGGCCCTTCCATGCTGTTATGTTCCTTGCATTAAAAGAGAGAAGTCTGACAGCAGGGCAGTGTGGAGGGAGGACCCCTGGATGAGGTGTTCTCTAGGCAAAGGGTGTGACTGATTTGATTTGGAAACAGCAGTTAGTGGAATTAAAGAGTGGAATTAAGTAATAGTATTGACTTACCCATTTCTAGTAACTACTGAAGGGTAGTAACTACTACCATTTCTAGTAGCTACTGTCAAGAAGGGTATGTCGGTGAGAACTGGTGCACAGAGCTTAGTGTACGAGGCAATTTCTGATTAAGCCGTTTTGTACCAAGTAATTTAAGGATTCGCAACAGCCCTGCAGTTCATTCACCAGAAAGCTTTTATTAGTATTATTACCAGGCAATACTAAGACTCCCAGACACATACCCTGGGTGGGCTTTCTGCACTTGTCCCGTGGGACAGAACCCTCTGATCATGCACTGACGGAGGAGGGAGAGTCGGTTTTCAACCCGGCTCTTTCCCTCCTGGGTGAGGACACCCAGCTCTGTTCCGGGGCCGCGCTCCCGCGGCCTCTCTCCTGCCTTCGTCGCGCCCCGCCGGTCCCCACGCTTCCTTCCGCGCCGGTCCGCGCAGTCAGGCGGGTGGTCTCGGGCTGTGCTGGGGTTCTCCGGGGCGAGAGGGGGTCAAGGCAGGCTTCGCCTCAGCCCCCCCCTCCAGGTGCATTGACGTGAATGGGGCGATATCGGGACGCCCCGTGTCTCCCTTCCGCGGCGGCGGGGTCTGCGTGGGACGGCGTGCACTTCTCGGGCAGCCTGGGGCGGGCGGGGGCCGTAAACCGGGTGGCTTCAGTGAAAGCAGCCACACGGCGCGGCGGTGTCAGGAAGTGGAACTAAAAGTATGCGTGCTTTCCGAGTTTGTGTTTGGATTTTTTTGTTTTGTATGGGGCTGTTTATCATACAGCTAGGTAAAAGAACGTTGCAAAGATGCAGGGCATTTGTCCGTCTGGTGGTGGAAGCAGATAGTGTTATTTTGCAGTTCCCGTAGAAAGACTCTGCAGACTCCTCCGTGTAGCTGGACAGTATCAGTGACAATATCGTTGGGCAGCTGCCCTGGCTGCTGCGGCATGTGCACAAATGGAACTCTTTGAGGAAACAAGCTAGAAACTGCCAAATGCAAAAGTCCTGCTCCAAGCAAGCGGAGAGAAGCAGGAAGGTTTTCCAACCTCAAGCAGTGCTGCCGCGAGCCTGTGTGTAGGTTTTTGCTCCTGACCCAGCCCTCGCACCATCCATCCTGCTCCAAGGGCATCCTAAGGAGCATCTCACCAAAATTAACCCCTGCTTTGGCTGAGCAGTGTGAGGCCTGAAGCTCTGTTCTGTGCTTCACTTCTGCCTTTGATAGCCGGTATGTCACCTTCAGCTCACAACACCCCGGGGCTCTGCCTGTGTGTCAGGGACTGCCCAGCCCTACTGGGGCTCAGGTTTGTACCTGGCTGAGGCACGCAGGTAGTTCACTTGTTCTGGGCAGAGCAGGCTGGTGGAGATAGCAGCGCTTTACACTGCTAAAGGTAAGTCTGTGCCTAAGCCTTTGGCAGCATTGACACCTTTTTGTGGCATGAAGAGGGTCAGCTTGCTGCAAAGTGTCCCTGGGCAGTTACTGTGAATGTCCTCTCTGCAGGATTTGGGTAGAAGAGTGAGGTGAAAACAGCATGAGTGAACTCTCCGGGGTATGCTGAGTCTGTGAGGCTGAAGGACTTCAACTTGCAATCCTGCCAGCACACATACTTGTAGTTTCAATTTAGAAGGCAAGGAATCTTTTTAAATAATGTCTTTAAAGTTAGCATGATAGGGAAGGTTGAGATATGTGATACATGTGGGAAAAAAATACATATAATGGTTGTTTTTGAAGAAGAAGATGCATTGACAGTGAAATTCTTGCTGGTTTTGTACCCAGCTGCAACCAGATTAATCCAGCCTTTACTCTGTGAGTCACACAAGGTTAGGTTAGGTTTTTGACGAGTGTTTCCCAGCGTCCCCACTGATGGTTTTTTTTTTCAGCTGTAACCATGGAGACTCTGTGTAATGCCAACAGCAGATTTGCACTTGATCTACTCAGAAGGTTTAATGACACCAACCCAACAGGCAACGTTTTCTTCTCTCCCCTCAGTGTCTCTGCTGCTCTGGCCATGGTCCTTTTAGGGTCCAAAGTTAATACAGAGGCACAGATGCTGAAGGTTAGTAAGAAATAAATAATTCTCTTTGGCTTTATATTTTATTTCCATTAAAGATTGTTGTGGTTTAGCAGAAAGAAGATGAAATGTTTGTGGTGTTTTTACATGCTCAGGACAAGGTTTCTGTCATGCTCACTGAGTCTTCCTCGGGCTCTTTTCTGCAGTTGCCTTCTTCCTGCCCTGCTCCAGAGCCTGCTTTCCATGTTTTCTATGACTCTTGTTTCTCATTTAATTTCACTTCTTAAATTAATTCTTGAAGTAGGAAACTACTTCATTAATTAATGTCTCCATTTAAATTGATTGGAGTTTCCAGTTTTCATGAGGCATTTTGACACAGAACTCTTGATTTGTAGTACAAGGTCACCAACAGTATGCTTATTGCTAATAATACAAGTGTGTATTTTGTAAGAAGCACAATAGTAATACATAGTTTTACATGTAGTGTTACAAGTATGATGATACACTGTGATGCTAGTAGTATCTCAGTAAACAGTTAAGCACTCCAGTATTTTGGGTTATCTGAGCCCACATGCTTATTCTCACCACAGCCTTAGGTTAGGTAGTATAGTTTAAAAAATATGATTACAAAAGTGGTGTACATAGGAGTGCACCAGCTTCTCATGGGCGCTCCTGCATGGAAGGGACTTAGTCACTATTATTTCCCCCCAGATTAGGCTAGTGCCTGCTAGCACAAAGAAGGGTGTATGAGGCTTCTCATTGTAGTCACCATCATGTGTTTGCCTATGAATAATTTCACCTTTGTATTCTGGACTTGAGGAGGAACTGTTTAGTACTGTTGAGTTGATGCCTGCTGAATAAGACAATAAAATTATGTTCTCGCTGCTTGTACAAACAGACTTTGAACACATATTTCATGTAATCAAACTGACAGCCCCACCTACAATAAACTTACTGACAGCAGAAGTCATGCAAAAGGAACTTGGGGGAAAAATATATTTCAACATAGATACTTTAGTAATGCATGTTCCTGTACCATAAAGCATTACTTATGAGAACATAGCTAATTAAGGAGGTAGCGATTGGTAACTGTCAAGGGCTGTACTCAAGCATATAGGAATTTCTTTCCATGATCATAATCCCATTTTGACTCCATGATGTTTTTGCTTAGTTATTCATTTGTACAACACAGCTTGCATAAGGGTGGACAGCAAGGCCTGACTGAAAACCCAGTGAGATAAAAGAAGAGTTTTCCTTTGAGTCCAGTGGCTGTATCACAGTAGTTGTCCCTACTGAGAAATAGGTGGTGTAAGTTTGAATATGAACATCCCTGCTTTGGGGTAGCCTTCCCTGTCAGTGAGGTCTGGCAGCTTCTTCTGTCATATCTGTGAGCCCTGGCCAGCCAGCTTGCCTCTGGGAAAGGAGGTACTGGTGAAAAGAAACTGCAGTAGTGAATTTGATTTTTAAGATGATACAGTTTCATAGATTTATATTTTCATAAAACCATAAAAGAAAATTGTTCTAAGTTTTCTTGAGACCTCACCTGCGCTGGTTTTGACTGTACGTTCTGTAAAACAAAACCTAAGGTTCCATTGGGCCAAAGGGTGAAGCCAGAAAACTGAAGTGCCTCTATTGGCATCATCTCTCTTCAGTTCTGCACTTGAGAATGAGTCATTGTGCCCCATGGTCCATGGAGGGGAGGCATGCAGATATTAACATGGATGGGACTGGGGATTATGATCAACAGCTTCAGCTGTCACTGTGTATAAACCAGGAGCTTAATACAAGTGGCTGATGAGCAAGTAGCACCAAGAAACTGTTTCATTAATTTTTTCAAGGTTTACAGAATTCTCTAAGCACCTTTTAGCCTTTTGCCTTTCTTCAACCTACCTGTCTTCTGGATCAGATACAAATATACTGTATTGTTCTTTTAAGACAGTATTAGCAGCAGCTCGTTCACTTATTTTATTTCAGACACTTCATTTTGACAAAGTTGAAGATATTCACTCAAGATTTCAGACTCTGACTATGGATATAAACAGAAGCAATGCTCCCTATCTCCTACGGCTTGCCAGTCGGCTTTTTGGAGAGAAGTCCTACACCTTTTTGCCGGTATGTTGGTGCAGATCGTGATGGCATGGTGGAACCTGGTGGGAAAATGCAGCTATTTGAGTGTTTATTCAGTACAAATATTTCTAGGCATATTTCTAAATGTTACTGGGCAGTCAACAAGTGTGTTACATACATGCATATGCATTTCCATGTCTGTAGGTGTCTGTGCATCTCACTTAAAGGATGTTAGACAGCAAACCCCTTTTATTGCTTGTTTGGTTCAGCTGCTCTTGGGCTCAAGAGAAATGCCACTTGTCTAGGTTCTTAGTTTACAGTAACTATCACAACATCCTACTCTTGCAACCAGCTTTTTAGAATGCAACCAGCTCTTGTGTCTGTTGCAGTCAACTTTTTAGGATGCAACCAGGCCTGTGTCTGTTGCAATCATTTTTTTAGGATTTTCATTGGTCTAGTATAACATTACTTAAATGTTTTTAAAACACTACATTTATCATAGAATAGAATCCTAGAATGCCCAACATGCCTCCACCAGTGAATTATACCTTTATGTGCACCCAGGTTGCTATTTTTATCCCTCTTTAGCTCTTTCAGAATGTCTTTTTTTTTATCATAGCTGTGCTTGAGCCCGTTTCAGGAGAATGACAGGTAAATGTTGCAACACCTGCAGTAAGCACCCCATCAGCTGTATATGTGGCAAATGTACTATGAGGCTTACTCTGAGAGGGGAATAAAACCAACCCAACCTCAGACCCACCCCAGGCAGTACACTGTTAGAGCCCCACCTCAGAGCAGGTGATAAACTGTTTGACATGCACCTTATCTACAGCATAAAGAGATGTTTTCTTATCTGCATGCAGTGAAAGCTATTCTTATGGTTCCAAAATCTAGGTTTTCCTGACTAATATTCAGAAATTCTATGGAGCTGATTTGGCTACAGTTGATTTTCTTCAGGCTAGTGATGAAACCAGGAAAGAAATTAACCAGTGGGTAGAAGAGAAAACTGAAGGTAAACTACTTTAGTTAATAAAGTAACCAGCAGTGTTTCATACCTTTGGAGTAGGAGTAGGCTTTATTCTCTGCAACCTTGAGAACAGTTTAATTTTGCCCTGGGATATTCACTTGTATTAACAGAACCGAATTATATCTAAACAAGACTTTTAAACAGTTCCATAAGTCCTGATACTTTTCCATCGCTTATGTTGAGGCCAGTGAGTGCAGAAGAGATGCCTAAACATAGATTTATATCACTGAATTGGAGACTCTGTTTTAGACAGTCATGGTACATACTGTATATGTTGTATATATGTATTTCTAAATCCTGTAATCCTAACTGTGGGTTAGGATTGGGTTATCTAGTTTTTGTATGATGAGTCATATGTGACAGTTCAAGCTAAAAATATTACATATTCATCTAATTACTGTATAACAAAAGTGACAGTGTTTACTATTAAAAAGTATGTGAAAAGGTAAAGAGACAGGTACCGAAGCACACCTTATTACAGGAATGAACTAGAGCTTTATGTTTGTAGTATTTTCAAGGTATCAGTTTCTTCATGTATGTTTTACATGGCTTCATGTATGTTTTATGTGCCATCACCTTGTCACAAGATTTTGTTGTGACACTTTTTTTCTGCCCCCTCTGAAGGTAAAATTCTTCATCTGCTGTCTGAAGGCTCTGTTGACAACACGACCAGGCTCGTACTGGTGAATGCTATTTATTTCAAAGGGAACTGGGCAGAGAAATTTAAAGAAGCTGACACCACTGACATGCCGTTTCGGTTAAATAAGGTAATACAGATCTGTCTTGGTAGTATGTATGTAACAAAAAGGTCAAATCATTCAGGTGCTAAAGTGAAGCTTTGCTTACAGGTAAAATAATAAAAAAAATCATAGAATCATAGAATGGTTTGGGTTGGAAGGGACCTTAAAGATCATCCAGTTCCAACCCCCTGCCACGGGCAGGGACACCTTCCATCAGACCAGATTGCTCAAAGCCCCATCAAACCCGGCTTTGAACACTGCTAGGGAATGTAAATAGAAAGTCTATGATGAATGTTTTCAGTTCACCCCAAAGAGTTTTTTATGGATTTTAGTATTTTTCTGTATTCAGGAAGCTATTTGTTACCTCACTTACCAGAACAGTATTTGAGACAGTTCTCACATATAGATTAGGAGGACCCTACCTGTGACTAACAGAGTTTCAGGTGCCGTGAACTGTGCCTGTTTGTGATGTTAGGTAAGCAGTATTAAAATGATAGCTCATTTTGGTTAAGCCCCATTTTCTTGTTCTGTATTCTGCTTATGTTAACAGCTTTACGAGATACTATATACAGTCATCTGCTTTATTCTGAACAAAGTTGATACTTGTTCACTTTTAATGTCCTTTTTGGGTCCAGAGTAATATAAATGTACAGCAACTCAAAGAAATAGTTTCTTTGAGGACTGTGCTACAGAAGCCAAAGGAGAACTAAATTTAATAAAAACTCATGTCTGGAGAAGAAATTGTTATTAATTGGGCAGTCAGGAGTCCGACAAAGTTTTATAGTCAGCTGATGTAATGCAGAAAAGTTTTGCAAGAATACAGTTTTTAAATCGCTTGTTTCCTATTCTTAGCAGTTACTTTTGATAACTTTTGTCTATCCAGAATGAAAGAAAGACAGTGAAAATGATGTATCAGAAAAATAAATTTCATTTTGGGTACATCCCTGAAGAGAAGATCCGTGTTTTAGAGCTGCTTTATGATGGAGAAGAACTCAGTATGATCATCCTGTTACCTGATGACATTGAAGATAACTCCACTGGTCTGCAGAAGGTGGGCCATCTAAGCTAATACAGTTATTTAACAGATAATTTCAGCCATTCAAAACTAAAGCCATAATGAACCCATGTTCTCAGAGCCCCGTATCTAGAGACAATGCTCTGCTAACACTGCAATAAAGAATATGTGCGGGTGCTGCATCAGGAAGAGAAATTGCGTGCTGGTTTTGTAGCTTCTGTTTGTGTCCTTTGGCTTGCTGAACTGAACCATGAGGGAGACTGCAAAACCAAAGTTAACTATAAGAATTAACTTGCCTTGCATATTTTTTATTTTTAATGACAGAACTTTTCTTTCATTACCTTTGAAAGTCCTTGTTTTCTTAGCCTTGATGTAATGAGACTGTTTTCCATTAAATGACCAGAAACTCATCAGCTGCTTTGAGCTCTCTGATGATTAGTTTAGTTACTTGTTGTTAATTGTGTAATTCCATTTAGTTAGCTTAAACAGTAAGAATTACTGGGTTTAGTTGCTATCAGTGCATGTTTCTCCTTTCTGTACATTGCAGCAAGAAGAAAATGTCTGCATTACTTTGTAAAGTAAAAACTGCACTGCCTCCGTTTAATTTTAATAGCATTTGTAAGATCTACATGGAGCCATCAAAGATACAGCTACTGTCATTTTTGTATAGCTGCTTTATACTTATTTAGTGCCCTATAAAGCCTTGTAAATGTTACTGAAAATGAAACGTTTCTACACAGGTGATATGTAATGATCTCTGTCTTTTTAATTCTAGCTGGAAAAGCAGCTTACCTTAGAGAAGCTTCAGGAATGGACATGTCCAGAGCATCTGTATTCCACTGATGTTCGTGTGCATTTGCCAAAGTTTAGGCTAGAAGAAAGCTATGACCTTAAATTAGATTTAGCTGCTATGGGCTTGGTGGATGTATTTGACAGTGGTAAGGCTGACTTGTCGGGAATGTCAGGGGTACGTGACCTCTTTCTCTCTAAAATAGTCCACAAAGCTTTTGTGGAAGTGAATGAGGAAGGCACGGAAGCTGCAGCTGCTACTGCTGGCATTGCTATGCTCTGCATGCCTATTGAAGAAGATTTCAATGCGGACCATCCTTTCCTTTTCTTTATTCGCCACAACCCCACACAAAGCATACTTTTCTTCGGCAGATACACTTCTCCATAAAAGAGAACTTGGCATTTGCAGATCAGTTCCTGCTGTAGTCAGTGAAAGCTTAGCTCCCAAATGAGTTGGCTTTTGATGTAGAAAGTTAATGCTCCTGTCTTGAGTTCCTAGTAACTTCGACTGAGATTCTGCCTTTCCCATAAAAACAGTCCCAAAGGAACTGAGGAGTTGTTTATTTTTCTTAAAGACATCATCTTTAATAATGAGGAAAATCTTAACTGTAGGCAGAAGAAATCTTTTGAAATTGGACTAGAAATACTCTTGGAAGAAACTTGTGTCTTTTAAAGCACAGGATTACCCTCTATGCATCCTTCCATGGGTTTATCTGTGTTGACAGCCCCCTATTGTAATAACAATAATTCAGTCATTCCTTATGCACGTATATTAGGATGTTTGTGCAAAGCTACTCCTCCCCTAAAGTCTTGCTTTTCAAAAGCACTTTAATAAAATACTTCTAGGCACCAGAAGGCATGTTCCTGAACAGCTGAGTTTACCCAGTTCTGTCATGAAATAGGTCAGATAACATTTGTTTAGAGACATCTATTAATAGAGAAAGGATTAAGCTATTTAAACAAAAGTAACCCTTTCTAGTCATTACCCAGCAATACAGCTTTTGAACGAGGAGGAGAAGTTAATAATAACTTTAGGTGACATTTTTAAAGAGGACCTTAAAAATTTATAGTCTGGTGCCATTTTAGTTATTGAAAATGTGAAAATGTCTCAGGGCTTGGAGGTTTTAGGTGCTTGAAGCTAATGGGTGTCTTTCTTTTGTGCAAGTTCAAAAGCTTTCAATATGACATTTATTTCTGGCCAGAACCTATGTGATCCTCAAAAAATACTTCAGCTTCCCAGGGGATGAATGTCTATAATCTGCAGTAAAGGTCTAATGTGTCTCTGTATGTACAAGGATTCAACATTTAGTTCGCTGACTTCCACTACCTCTCTACATACAAACCTTCTGTACTGTTCAACAGCCTTGTCCCATGTTTATTTCTGGAGGGTATTTGCTTATATAATGTATATCTTGGGTACTGTAATGTTTACTTGTAAGTCATAGGTCTCAGTGGGGCACAATAATTTCTGTAATTGCAAACTGTATATTAATTTTGTCTTTAAGGAACAAATAAAAGTCTTCTTCTTACACTTAGGTTCAAAATGTAAGCTTCTGCATATCATTTAGCATTTCAGGGTACAAAATTAACTGTCCCCTGAAAGCTAAAGAAGACCACTGGTGCAGCAGTAAGATCATCTGTAGAAGTCCCTCAACTGTTCAGAGTAAGTGAAAATGCTGAACAACAAATTACTTGGTAGAAGAGATGATTGCGTGAACCATCAGCTTCCTCTGTAAGTAAGTGTAATGACCACAGCTGCTAGCACCTACAGGGAACAGGAAGAGAGCAATGGTTTATGAAATGACACAGGCACTTGGTCTGTACATTAGTAAACATGTTCCCAAGTGTTGGCAATACCTCAGTTGCAAAGATCCTGGTGAAGATGTAAAGGAGAGTGTGTACTGCAGAGTGCAGATGTGAATGTAACTGTTTTTGTGTTGAATGCTGTGAAAACCCAGTGCTTTGCAAATAAGTCAGAAAAAGATTAGCACAAAACCCATGTGAAAATGTGGAATGCTTTGACATTTGCATTAGTATGGGGTTTCTGGGCATTTGTCTTCAGCCTTTTAGCACATAAGGCTTCTGCTGCCATAGACGTTTTTTTTTACTTATGGCTCAAACGCTCTATTGTAATTACATCCTTATCTTTATGTGCTTAAACTCGATTAATGCATGCAAGACACATGATATCTGAAAGCTTTTAGGGCTGTGATTACCAGGAGATCAGAAGAAAGGTAAAACCTTGTGTAATAGTACAAATCACAGGAGCTTTATATACTCATGTATTTCTTTATTACATTGGTCTCAGTATTCAGTACCTCAACTATTATACTGAGTCAAATTTGTCTTTCTTACAGACAGGATGCACAAAGTAAAATATCAGCAATTAAGACTCTCAGTAAATTCAGCTTCACATTCAGCTGTTAAAAAAAAACAACAACCCAAACAACAAGCCTACTGACAAATATTACTCTCCCATAATTCAAGTCCCACAATAAGACAGCTGTGAATGTTTTCCTTAATAGTTCTTTCTTTTCCTGCACTTCTGTCAGAACAAGTGACTGACAAAGGCTGACTCCAGCAGGGAAAACTGGAATGTCAAATGTACTCACATTTCTAAAAAATAAAATGCTGCTTCAACTAGCTCATGTGAAGGACTTTACAACAGGCTTTATAACAATCCAAAACTCAGAGCAGTATTTGCTTACTGTGGTGTGATGAGTAAGCCAGACTTTGTACAACTGCTTACATAGACTCTCTACCATAGCCCTTTGATTTCAGTAATTTAAAACAAAAAACCTTGCCATCCACCACCTCTTGGCTGCTTTCTGTCTGGTTCATACAGTTTAACTTGCTCTTTCTAGATAGTAAATACCATAGTGCGGATAAGGAGGACAGATATTGCTCGGGTTTAAGTCACCTTGTCCTAGAGAAAAATTTACATAGATGATTTACATACTCAGGGGATGATTGGTGATACTTTCACTGTTAAATGGTTTTATGTATTTATATATGACCAAAATCCTGGTAAAGTACATAAACCTGATCAAGTGCCCAGGTGTCCTAGAGACAGATATTTGTCTTGATTTTTTTAATATGTTTTCATTAGAAAGGATAAGGCCAGTTTAATTCACTTGAACCTATTGAGAAAAAAAGGTACTGTTGAAATCATAAACAGGCTTTTGAGTTGGTTGGTTGGTTGTTTTTTTTACTGTAGTGAATCTGTCCAGCTCTGTCATGTCACCTTATGGTACATATTCTTACCCATATTTATTCACGGGCATATGCAATTCCTGACAACTTAATAACAATAGAAGTAAAAAAACACAGCCAAATCCTGGAGAGCTCAGCCTGTCTGGAAACACACTGAACATGCACAGTGGCTGCTGGCAATTCAGGTGATGAATTCATCACATCAGCCAGAGAATGCTATACCTTCAGGTTAAATGAAACTCTAAACAACCAGCTTGTACAATCACTTTTATTTTTAAGTCATGTCATGAGAGACAATAGACAGTCATTTTGGCTGAGAACTCTTTCTCAACACGAGAGAAGACACTCACAGAAATAGATGCAACCCAGTGGTTAACAAGAATTTAAACTCTTTGTACATGAGAAAACAGTACAAGAATCTTAGAACAGAAGTCATGATTTCATGTAAATATTTAGTATAAAAGCCTGAACAACTCCATACCAGCCATATCATCCAGTTTTTTATCTGCGAGAGTCAAACTGGCTAAATAATGGAAGCAATATTCATTAGAATTTCAGGCTGTTTCTCACGTGCACTGAATTGCCCAACATGGGCTATGGCATGGCCTTTCTCATGGTCTGCATTATTCCTTGGTGGAATGCCTTGTATAAGAGAAAAAGAGATTACGGTACGGCAGATTTTGGTGGTGCTCTTTACAGTGGAAGCAACTGTCACGTGATGGGATCCAAATCTCATCCCCAAGTTTGGGTGGCACTACAGTATTTGTTCTTTCTTTAAAGCTCTGCAAGCTGAAGATGAATAAACACACTGGTATTATGACTCTTCAGGAGTGACCATTCTTGCCCTGAAGTGAACTTCAAAAGGTAAGTGCCAGGGACTCAAAAGTTAGAAAACAAAGAAATATACTTCATTATTTATGGAGACTTTATACATCATCCTGAGAAGAAATTGACAGTTTTGCTTTGGGACTGTTCAGAGGGACTGGAAATGGTGCAGGTTGAAATGTCCATTTGTGAGTGCATCTGGTGCCAATGGACTTTTTAATGGGGCATGGAATTCCTCAAGCAGTGGAGGTGACCCTCTTTAGAGGGAGTATGAAAGAGATGAACATCAGTGGGAGAGAGAGAGCAGAAATTAGAAAATAGTACTTTGCTTTGAAAGAGGCCATAAAGCATGATGGGTTTGAAACTTTATCTTCTTGTTGCCAGCATTTTAGTAGGCCATTAGACTGGACTGTCTGATGGAGCTGTCCTGAGGGGCACAATCTCTTTTCATTCAGGACTGAGAAAAAAACGGGGGCCAAGGAATGAAAAAGCGCCTCTGAACATGTTGTCAAGCTGTGCTGCCCTCTGAAGGTGAGCACACACTACTTGGATTTACTTCAGCAGTGGAAAAGATACCTTGACTAATCCTGCTCTGAAACTGGGGCATGAGAGGAGACAACTGATAGTTTCCAAGGAACAGGAGGAGTAGGGGAAGGAGACAAGTACAAGGCAAACTACCCAGCATATGCAGTAAACTTAGTCACAAGGGAAAGTATTAGCCTGCGTCCACTTCATGTAACAGGTGACCTATTGGCTTACCTGCTGGCAATTGCCTGTGGCCTAGGACACATGCAGGCTCCTGTATCCTGTGTGTTAGCCACCCCAGAGCACTTGGTGAGATCCCTTTAACACTTTGTTTCGTCTTGTAACGTGGCAGAAAACCTGCAGAGCCCCAGCCATGCTGCATGACCTTCTGGTGATGGAAGAGACCAGGGCCCACTGGGGAGTTCATTGGCACAGTGAATAAAACCGACTTGGGTTCCTAGCCAGACTATTTCTGCTACTGGAAAATTATTAATGAAGTCTCCATAGTAAGGCCACCAAGTTCTATTTATTATTTTTTTATTTCTTCCTGTGGGAAAAAAAAAAATGGGAAACCATACAAAGAACCATGGGAAACACCGTATACATGGAAAAAGCAATTGTGACCAACGCAAGAGTCGCTTGATGGAACCTCCTTCCCCTCTTGCACATGAAATACACAACAGACAAGTTTATGGAAACCCAGGACTCTGTCTCACCCCATGCTATGCCTACTCAGCTCCCTTCTTGCAGGCTGAGCTCATCTCAGAAGTAGGCACAGGGATCAGCACTCCTGTTCTGCCCTAGTCCTGAGCGAGCTGCTTTGTGGAGACCCGAGCTCGCATCTCAATTCTGTGATTGCGGTGTCATGGTCAGTGCTGATCACAGTCCTGGCTGCTTGGATTATCCTGGACCAGTGTTTCAGAGGCGCCTCCTCACGCTATTGCTCCTCCATGTAATTTCAGCTACATCTCGGCAATCAAGAGTCATCTACCCCTACTTCTACCTCAACCCACGTATTCCTTCACACAGTGCTCAAAAGCTCCCAGGTAAGCACTAGACAAGATCCCTAGCACAAATCTACAGGTTATCAAAACTCTCCCTAACCTGGACTTGTATACGAGTCAAAGCCCATTAACTTTTCAAGGTGACCCTATCATGACCACATCTTGCCTTATTTCTCCATGTGCCTTTCAAAAGACTACCAGGGTAAAAATACTACTCTAATTAATTCCTGCGTTAATTCAGACAACAAGAAAGTTCTAACCAAAGAGCAAAAAGAAGTGAACTATGGGTTAAAAAGAAAAACATGCAAATATACATAAATGAAGCTTATAAGAAATGTACTCAACTTTAGAAAGACACTTTGCTCACAGCTTTCAAAAGCTATCGGTACTACCGGCTTCTGGGCCTCATCACATGCTGCAAAGACATACCAAGCCTACTGTCAGTTTTATAACCCACTGCTTAGACAAGACAGGGCAGCTGTTGACCAAAACGTTTGACAACATGTGTCCAACCCCAGAATAGAATAGTTGTGACATATTTTACAGCTGAATTATCTTGGTAATTGCAACTTCTTGCAATACATAAAAGCTAACATTACCAAGAATAAGAGTCTGAAAAGTCTTGCTAGTAATTCTAAACCCGTCTTCACACTTCACGGCTATTCTTCATCACTAAATCCCCTGCCTAGCATCCTCCATAAACATGCACCCAGAATGTCCTCTAATACCTGACCCAAATAGCAACATTTTATGTCCTCCAGATACCAGCCCAGCAAAGCAAAATAAACCCGTGTTTTTGATGACTGTCTTCAGTGTTTCTTAGTAAATAAATCCTGAGGTAAACTGGTCTTGAAAAAACAATTATAGCCCACTAGTGGTCTATAACTTACCAATGTGGCCTCTCTTCTAGACAATGACTTCTCATGGGCATGCCACAGAATGGAAATGGTAGTATCTAGGCC